ACACACACACACACACACACTCAATTGCTTTGAGGGTTGAAAGAGACTAGGCTGGGGTTCACAAATGGGAAGGACAGGATAAGGGGTGGGACAGAGCCTCCCAGCTGGGGCTGTGGAGAGCCTTTGTCGTTATTCTCTTTCCCACTGGTCACCTCTTCCACTTCCCCAGCTCTTCCAAGAGCCCTGCTCAGATTCCTCTCACAGACACGCCATGTAGCAGCTGAAACCTCCTGCCCCCTGGGTGTACTGTCCACACTTCTGTGGCCCACCACAGCTATGTTGATCCATTTGGTGCCCACTGGCATTTGCTAGGCCCCAGCACCCACATAGGCCCACACCTCTGGCATGTGTACACACGTGGCTACAGGTGGGCCTGAAAACTGTGTGCTACTCTGAAACACATGTGTGTGTGTGCACTGCACACACTGCACAGCAGAGCTTCCGTGCAGCACGCAGCTTTCTCTCCACAGCCTCGCTGCCTCTCCAGCAAGCGCAAGTCCCTTCTGTCTCCGCATTCGCCTTCCTTAAGGGCCCTCCCCAGTGTGACACCCTGCGGTTCTCTGACATGCCATATGTCTGTCCTGCCAGGTCGCTTGGTTTCTTTGTCACATGCAGATTCCTTCTCTCCTCCCTACACACGGGTCAGTCCGTGAGGCCACTCTTCCCTCCCCAGCCTCCGCAGGCTCCTCGGGAACGGTTGCTTGCCTGGGCCTGACTCACTCTTTCCTTCCTCTTTCCTTCGCAGACTCACCACCACGGCAGCCTGTTCCCTGGACCTGCATAAATTCCCTTTGGATAAGCAGTCGTGCAAGTTGGAGGTGGAGAGCTGTACGTGTGTCTCCTGTGGCCGCTTCTTCTCTACCGGGGGCTGTGGCAGTCAGGAGACCAAGAATTGACAGTGAGAGGGACAGCGCATCTCCTCCACGCCCTCCCTTCCCCACATTCTCTCTCCTACGTAGATAGACAGATGGACAGATACATGATGATAGATGATGGATTAGTAGATGTGTACACACACACACACACACACACACACAC